CAAGATGTAAGCATCGAACCACTGAAATTCATACACACCCAGTCACCATACAATAATAGTGACTGTGATATTCACATAATCTTGTAACAAAACAAACTTAGCTCCCTCAGAGTGTGTCAGCCACTGACTGGTAATGGAGAGCCAATGTCTAATGTGTGCCCCCTCACCTTAGTACTGAGATCCCTGCCGCAAGCTCCCTACTGATGGAGATGCCATCTCTGCTCACTCACTACTGGGGAGGCAAAGCTTCACCACCTGAGCCAATGTCTAATGTGTGTGCCCCTCTACCTTAGTACTGAGAGCCCTGCTGCAAGCTCCCTACTGACGTTTTGGAGGAAAACATATTGTTTGTTTTGAAAGAAAAGGATTTGATATTTTGGTCTAATTGAAAACACAAACTTCAAAGTTCAAGAAAATTGAAATTATACTGGCCCTTTTCTATATTACACTTGCAAGATGTAAGCATCGAACCACTGAAATTCATACACACATGATAACTTTAATGGCAGTTTTAAAAACCTGGGCTAATTTAAAAAAAATATGCTATCATGTGTGCCAAAATGGGCCTCTATCTTACTGTGTCCTATGAGCTGATGGGTTATCTTGCCAGTCACCATACAATAATAGTGACTGTGATATTCACATAATCTTGTAACAAAACAAACTAGCTCCTCAGAGTGTGTCAGCCACTGACTGGTAATGGGAGAGCCAATGTCTAATGTGTGCCCCCGACCCTTAGTACTGAGCATCCCTGCTGCAAGCTCCCTACTGATGGAGACCCCATCTCTGCTCACTACTGGGGAGGCAAAGCTTCACCACTGAGCCAATGTCTAATGTGTGTGCCCCTCTACCTTAGTACTGAGAGCCCTGCTGCAAGCTCCCTACTGATGGAGATGCCATCTCTGCTCACTACTGGGGATGCAAAGCTTCACCTGCTGTCTCACTAAACACCAGCACATCATTCTGTCACACTCAAACTGGAAATCTCATATCTCTGGCCTCATGTTACTGACCTGCATCATCACTGTAAACAATGTAGCTGCCTAAATGCAATATTGTTATGGATTTGATGAACTAATGTCAAACCAGCTGTCAATCATGGCATGAAGGAGAGTGTTACAAATCCTGATCAAGGTTTGCTGCAGACTCTAGTCAAACATCTCCCACGGAACCCATGTCTGTAATCCAGTTTTTGCTGGCTATATTTACAGAGTGAGCAAGTCCCAACATTCTCCATAAGGCTTAACTACGTGTGCAGACACTCCAACCAACAACACGACTATGCTAATGTTATACTTCCATTGCTGTATTTGTGGTGTGGTGCTACAACAAGCATGTCTGTTATACAGATTATCAGGGATAAACACAACAACTGGTCTGTTAGTCTGTGACTTGTGAAAACCAACAGGGACTACTTGTTTCACCCAAAATCTCGCACAAACCTGCACACCTGGATTCCACCACCACCAGCGTGTATTCCTGATTGTGGTCCTGTCCAAGACAAGCTGTGGTCTCTAATATTAACTTGGGCTAATTAGCGCTCATATCTTGAAGCTGATAAGGCTTATTTTGACATTTCTACAAATGTTGATAACAGTAACCTCTGTGTATGGGGAAATATGCTTGTAATGTTCCAGCTGGTGTAAAAGAACTGTAAAGCATAGAGCTTTTACATCGTAACTCCCACGCTAATCACGATACATGTTGGGGAGATTCTTTCCAGCCCTGTGATGTTTCATGAATGAAAAAGGACATACAACTCCTAATACACAGGAAACACACAGAGCTAGTTCTGCTGTAAATAATTTATCTGATAATCTGGCTCAGAATACTACTTCACAGAGAACATCATATTTCCAAATATATTTCGGGTTTTGTGATTGGTGTGAGGAAAAACATCTTATGAAATTGTTTTTGTGCAATGAGTTTACATCCACGTGTGCTATATCCTGTCCGGTTCCACAGCCTGCCTTGGTGTGTCCTGGCTCTTCTCATGCCCACTACCTTGTAACAGGCAATATCCCCTCAACATGGCCTGTCCTCCTTCACCAACACCACCATATAATTACTTCCCAGCATATTCAACACTTTCACTATCAGAAGGAACAACTAGATGTGAGGACGTGTTTCAGTTTCACAGTACCACATAGTAACGTCACTGTGGAGATCAATACCCTGACCAACATGTGCACACACAGTGAAATCTGTAATTAATTCATGCATGTTTATACCAAGTATGAACCTGGGCACACCATTTCATCCACAATCAGCCACACTGTCTTATCTGTGAGCTTGTTCAGGTCAGAGGTCAGCTGAGATTACAACATGCCGCCCAGAGTAGGATCAATCACTTCAGCTGTCACAGTATTTGTATCTGACCTACTTTAACACAGAAAACTGGGACAATTTCTTTCAAAGTATTTCCAAATTTAAAGTGAAAAAACTCAAAGAGTTTGCATAAATGACTCGATTTTATAACTTAAGCCAATTGCAGGCTAGTTATTAGTTGTATTTGTTCTATCCACTGTCACATTTGTATTACACGTTTAAGGACATGGAAAGAAAGTGTGGCAGAAATATTGATCCACCAGGAGAAAATGTCACTTGATAACCAACGTCACTCCAAGGTCACAGTTGAGTTTGTTTCCAGATTTGACACACACAACAATTTAAACGTTTGCTGGAATAAGGCGCCTTACAAAAGTCTTGTTTATCCCCTCACTGACCTATGTAAGAATGACCTGCTCTCTGTGTAATGGTGGATCCTGAGTGAACCTACTGAGAGCTGGCGTATCACCGGTACATATGGGAAGTCCTTCTCAGTCCTACATGCTGGACTGTGTGGGAGGCTTGCTGCATGCACCCACCATCTCAACTGTAACTTACACCTAATCCTGATATATCCTGAAAGATGTTTACGGAAAAGTATGCAACAGGATCAATCTCTCTTATAAGCTTCATACTCTTACAAATAACCTATGTTCAAACAGCAGGAAACATTCACATACATATGACTAACTACTATCCAACCTGACATGTGTCCAACCCCTGAATTCTGTAATGCCTCTATACTTGCCCTACAGAGTTTGTTCATCAATTATTATTGAGTGTTAACCTTCTAATGTTAAAACAGCATTCATAAATAGATAAGGATGTTAAATGACTTGAGGAAGGCTACAATCACCACCATGTTGTTTGACTGACATAAACAACTGTGGTGAATGTTTTATTCATCATTATATAACCGTGTCTTCCCATTGAGAATCAATACACTACAAAACACTGCCACTCATGCAAGACCAGCACCCCTGGTAGCCAGTGTTCAACATCTGACCTATTTAGTAATTGCATAGTCAATTAATGTCGATTTATAAGTATTTAGCAGCGAGGCAATAATGTCCACAGCAGAACCCAACTCATGAAACTACCATGCAGAATTAACAATTACATTGCTGAATGTGAAATATCGTCAGCTCACCCATCTTCATGCCGACATGTGGTTGCCCCATCCTCCTTGAAGGAGAGTTAGTTGATACTCAGATCTTGATGAACAGAATAGTTCAACCAATCATTGATGAAGGAGTGCATAAACTTGCCTTTCAATTTAAATTTTATGTTCAGTAAATCAATAATGCCAAATGTCACATAAGGTATACTACCGTAGATAAGCCATTTTGAGGACAGAAAAAAGCAGTCTGTAGAAGGGGTTGGCTTGACTTTTGTCAAACTTTTTTCCAGGGGGTAAGAAAACGACATTGTATAGCATCACATGAACAAACAAACAAGAGAAGACGACTTTGTCAGCAAAGACGTCAAATTTGCAATTAAACATCACTAGAAAAGATAATTTACCTATTCAGTGGTAATTTGTTTTTGCTTGGCATTGTCTTAAATGCAGGGATTAAGATTACCGTGTGTAATTGTCTCATATACAACACAGAAATTAATTAATTAAGACCAAACTGCTATAAGGCTCCCACAGCTTAGCCGGCCATCAGTTCACTAGTTTCTACTTGTAAGCAGAAACTAACAGGTGTAGGTTGTCAGACCTGCTGACTTGGTTGGTCATCATATCCCAATTTTGTCAAGTGATGCTGGATTGTCTGGTCCAGACTCTATTATTTACAGATAGCTTGAATACTGTTGTGTAGCATTGTGTAAAAATGCCAATGCACAATCATCTTTATGGAATGTTAAACACACTGTAACCTATCATGTCACAAGCTAAAAAACAAAATATATTCTCTACTTCTGGGAGATGTTTCTCTTACACTTGTGTTTTCTCAATTCAAATACTAGTAACATTATACTTTGGTTAATTGTAAGATACTGAAACAGTGTACACGTGACCCACTTCTACATGAAATACACATAGCAGCATCTGGTGCAGAGAACAATACCTTACAGCAAAACAGTGTCAGCATATGGCAGTAGAGCGAACACTGAGTGTGGTGAGCCTCATGCCATGTATGGCAACAAGTGGGGAACCACCACTGCCGACAGGCTGAAGCAGACTTCTCTTGAGATCATGCTACATGTGCAAGCCTGGTTACAAATATCAGACTGACTGACTGACTGACTGAGTTTGGTTTTACGCTGTTTTTAGCAATATTCAAGCAATATCACGGCAGGGGACGCCAGAAATGGGCTTCACAAATTGTACCCATGTGGGGAATCGAACCCGGGCCTTCAGCGTGATGAGCGAACACTTTAACCACTAGGCTTCCCCACCGCCCCTACAAATATCAGAACTGACACACAAAAATCACAGGAAATACTGTAGGTGGGAATTCTGATGAAGGTGACGACATAGCAGATAATTAATGTGAGGGCTTAGCAACTTAAATGATAACACTCAAATCCACAATTTGGGTGTTTCAGGTAAATCTATTTTACAATTGAGCACAGAAAATCCTGTATTTTCATACAATATACCAGACATTTCTGAAGAAATCACTGATAGACGACATGATTAACTGATTGTCTATGTTTACTTTCAGCCGCTACAAGGCCCACAGCCCAGCCAGTGATGTGTGGAGAGACAAGCATGCAGCAGCAGTAGCAGCCTGTGGTGGACCAGGAATGGGGGAGGTAGAAGCATGGGTGTTCAGGAGAGTCCTCATAGCTCTCACCCTCCTGTGGACTGTGGTGCAGCTCTCTGCCTCATGCCCACTACACTGTGTGTGCCAAAACTCTACAGACGCAAATATTACAAACATCACCTCGGTCATATGTGCTCAAGGAAACCTTACCGCAGTGCCAAAAGATCTGCCCCAAGAACTTTCATCTCTCAACCTCAGTGGCAACAGAATTGTGTTGCTAGGAGAAAGCTCTTTGGCAGACGTAAACTTACAGCAGTCTTTGAATACCAGTGTCTTTGATAACCTCTACAACTTAAAAATACTTGACCTAAGTCAAAATGCAATTTCTACCATCCAGCCACATGTCTTTGAAGCTTTAGGACTTGTGAAAGAATTGAATCTGTCCAGTAACAACTTAACAGACTTGTACAGTGACATGCTGTCAGGCTTGACGGCAGTGGACAAGCTGAACTTAGGCAGCAATAACATTGCCAGCATTGAGAACAACACATTTCTATACCTGGAGCAGCTTCGCTCCTGGATCTCAGCCACAATGACCTGCCAGAGCTACTCACTTTCTCCTTCTTTGGCCTGCAAACTCTTGAGAAGCTTTACCTTCAGCACAACAAGATTACATACATCGAGGCTAGCACCTTCTTGTCTCTCAGCAGTCTTCAGGTACTTGACCTAAGCCACAACAGACTCACTGTTATTGATACGCTCACATACTTCAGCCTGCCAAGTCTCACATCTCTTTCTTTCAAAGGCAACAAACTACAAGAAGTGATTCTAACTTTCAATGGTACCAACGAAAAGCTCCTGAATCTGAGCCTAGATGATAACCAATTCCCCAACATAAGCATTCCAGTGTTTCGGGGACTTGACAAGATGGAGGAGCTCAGTCTCAGTTGCATGCCTTCTCTGACCAATGTAGCCTTTGATGCTTTCCACGGTCTTCCATCACTCAAACACCTCAATATTAGTCACAATCCAGGCCTAACACTGGTGCATTCACACCTATTTGATCACCTTCCTAAGTTGGCATCAATTGATCTCAGTTACAACAACCTATCCAGCCTGTCATTATTGACATTCCATAACAATCACAACCTGCAAACAGTGAAGCTAGATGGCAATCACTTTACGTGTAACTGTGGCTTGGCCTGGTTAGCAAAATACGTCACCACGAACTCTACTGTTTACAGTGGGGACCTACACTGTCTTTTAGACGGTAAACAAATACATCTTACCAAAGCTACAAATCTCCATGAAATGTGTAATGAAATTCCCCAGGTCAATACAACAGAAATCTTATTCTTTGCAATTGGATCTTCTGCTCACATCACATGTGAGTTTGAGCCTGACCCTGACAGTGTGGTGATATGGACCACTCCTCGCAACAAGATCCTGACCTACCATGCCTTCCACCCTGATGTGATATCCCACATGCTGAGCAAGGAGGACATGCAGCTCAACAGCTCCTACCATGCCTCCCACTACTGGCACAACAGCTCAAGCTACTACGCCAGCCTCAGCAGCTTCAAGGACAGGATCGTCCTGCTCAACGACGGCTCACTATACATCGACTATGTCCTCCGCCTTGACAACGGTCCTTATAAGTGCTTAGTGATGAATGCAAACTACAACTCTTCAGATGTAATCATGGTGAGACTTGACTACAGTGTCTTATTCAATGTCAAAGTCATAAGTATTATTGTGGGTTCCGGATGTGCTATTTCCTTTCTTCTACTAAATATCATATACTCAATCATCAGAGCAATAGCTCGACGACTAGTCAACAAACGTCGCAGGGTAGCAATCAGAAAACTCCTTGAAAACTTGGATCTTTACAAGACAACACAATTTGCCAGATTACGTGAAAACTACAGTGGCCAGCTGAACCGCATCAGGGACCAGTATCACAATCAGTTCCACCGTCTGAGTGAAAACTACAACTCCCAGTTGAAGCGGGTGAGGCAGGGCTGCTCTCACCAGGTCGTCCGAATCAGGGACAACTACACGACAAAGGTGGGGCGGCTGCGCAACTACAGCTCACATCAGATTGAGCAGATCCGGAGATGTACAACAACCAGCTATTGAAGATGCGTGACTATGGGTCTCTGCAGATGGTGCGTCTGCATGAGAAGTACAAGCTCCAGCAGCAGCATGTCATCAAGCTGCTGGAGACCATGAACCTGGACAACTGCAAGACTGTGATAGAGACTGAGTGCTTGAGGACTGAGAGCATGATCTTTGATGTAGACATACTGAAAGATACAGAGGATAATTCCCTACCACCTCTCTCTGGAAGTGACTCAGAATATATCACTGCATCTAGCTCAGAAAATTCGAGTCAGGACAGTTTACAAATGTCACCATGTCCTGATGATGATGACTTTGAAAGACATATAAATACTCAGGAATTGAACAGTCATCTACACGATGTAGAAGAACCTCAGGTAGTTTTAGCACAGGTGAGCAGCGAACAGGACCATGACAATGTCTCATTTGTGATAGACATGAATGTGGAAGACGAGGACAATGTCAGGGAATCTATAGTGTGAGTGTGGCTAAATCAGGTGTAAATGTTGCAGTGTTCACGACCCACCGGGTCTGGCCAACAAGTGTCTACCTGTAAACATTTCTCCAAACTGTCTGTGCTGGTATACATCACATCATATACAGCAACCAGTGTTACTCTGTTGTTCAAATCGCTAGTTCTCTGCCTCTGTGGTGAGGACCACGTGTCGAGAGCCATCAGACAGTGTGGGTATGTGTTTACAGGAAATAGCAGGACTGACTGGAGGAGTGAATGTATATAATCCAGAGATATACATATTCTAATCCAGAGACCAAAACTGTGTCATGCATGAACAGACCTCAAGGCAAACACTCAGTTCACAATATTTTCAACAATGAAATATATGCAATATTCAGAACATTTGACACTTTCATATTTGTTTCACCACTACTGTTTATGAGATGTATCTATGTTTAGTAGCTGTTCTTGCTTGTCCAGCTAACCTACTATAAGTTTCAGTCCAACATGCCAAACTATATCACCCAGATGAAGGCCAGGATCAATGTTAATTATAGTTTATTGTACGTATTTATTTGTCTTTTGTCAAGTTCATTGAATATTTTTTTTCAAAACAGCATCTATCTAGATTATCCATATTTGCTGTGATGTAAGTGTTACATGGCACAGACAACAAGTGCACTCAGACACAGCTCACATGGACTCCTGTGTTACAATACGAGTTGCCAACACACAGAGAAGTCCTTGGAGATCAAACACACAGATTGCTACCACTTCTCATCCCACTATTTTGTTTAGACTCTCATCAACACACAAACTGACACACAGATCAATTAGTGGATGCAAGTTGTTCACATGAAACTGCAACCCAGAATTATGTCTAGAAGGTTCCTCCCGATTCGACTGATTTAGACTTGACTTCTTCTACGATAGCAAGAAATGGCCCACTCTTGTGAACCATGTATTGATTGGTGAGATCAATGGGCTCAGATTGATTTGGGTAGGCTGGTGTTGCCTTCCCTGCTGAGGACTAGGCAGAACTCCACACTAGAACATCACTGAGTGACACATACAATTATTGAAGAGGTAGCTGTATCAATTTCAATATTTACACTATTAATATATCATTTCTGAAATTTCAACACAAACTGAACATTATTAATATGATGTTACTCAAGGTGTAAAACTATGAACATTATTTATTTTGACAGGTGCATAATCTGTAGATCCTTATGGTGTAACAGATGAAGAATATGATTTGAATTTGGGGAACAATAACAATTACTTGAGCTGATTTGATTTGAAATTTTGCCAAATTTATCTTTCGCCACAATATGTTCTTCATACAAACAGACTTAACAGTGCCATACACACTATTCTTGTCAGTTTACAAAGAAATGTATACCCACAGATAATTGTACATGCTCATTAACAGATGCACTCGAGTGTTATCAGAGTTCAGCATATAGAACTGACTTAGGTTTCCATTATATTTTCAAGTTTGCTCTGAATGCCTCTAATTGGCCTTTTAATTAAACTTTGATTCCGGTTCAACAAACTGAAGTTGTATTTCTATTGGGTTACTCACGACTTTTTAGTACAATTTGATTGAATGTTATTTGTACTGTGAATACATTTATTGTTCTTTGCACTTAATAGACTTTGTTCACGTAATGCACAATTTAAACACACAACGTCTACTGATGTTATTGTTGTGGGTCTTCTTTTCCTTGCTTAGCTCTCCAACTCTCCATTTTGTGACAGTTCTAGAAGTGCTGATCTCATGAACATGTACGGCAGATGGCAGCTTCACTCCTACCAGGGTATATGGTTCACAGTGCAACATCCACCAGTAACTGACTAAAGCTACTCCGTTTTACCAAAACATTCTTCTTGAATTTAGGCAAATACATGTGTAGAAAAGTATGAATCTGTCACTTTACTTTTTCTTGAGTGTGTAATGGTGTGTTGATTTCATATTGTCCTTCAACAGATTGTACCTGATGTTTTAGGAACTTTTTAACCCAGACATAAGATCACAAGCAGGATTTGACTGATGGCCATTATCCACATCAGGCCCTGATTTCTTGTAACAAACTGAAGACTGAGATTTTATTCACATTTGAGAAAACGCAGCAGAATGTTTTTCATGAAATGAACTGAAATCAACATTACACTTAGTAGATAACATAAGTTTGGTAATTGGTTTCTTAAGCTGCTTTTTGTTATTAGAAACACAACTGAGATAGAACTCATCTGTTTCAAATTTTCAAACTTTGAAATTTGAGTAAAAACTGTTTGTTTCAAGAAATCAGAGCTTGTATCCACTGACAGACAATGCATGCCTGGAAACACAGTTTCATGTTAGATATCTACAACCACTCAAAGTTGAGTTCGTTTTATCTTGTGTAAACTTCCTGACACGAAAGGCTCACTGTAAAATACACTGAATGAACAGTTTATTATTCCTGTTAATTTCTCCACATGACACTACACTGTCACTGGATAAGGTTAGTTATGTCTCGTCCAACAGGGACTTATTTACTGATTAGAATAGAGATGTTTGAATGTGTCATTTTATTCCAATGTTACAGAGATGTTATGTTACAGATATTAGTAAATATCACAAAATAGAATTTAGAGTTTTGTTTTCTATGAAATTGAACACTCAGCTGAGCTGGGTGTGGAATGTGCATATACAACACCCTGGTCTGAACGTGTGCATGTAGAACACACACGTCTCAGCTGGGTGTGAAATGTCTGTACACAACACCCTGGTCTGAATTGTGCATGTAGAACACACACGTCTCAGCTGGGTGTGAAATGTCTGTATACAACACCCTGGTCTGAACGTGTGCATGTAGAACACACACGTCTCAGCTGGGTGTGAAATGTCTGTAATACAAACACCCTGGTCTGAACGTGTGCATGTAGAACACACACGTCTCAGCTGGGTGTGAAATGTCTGTATACAACACCCTGGTCTGAACTTGTGCATGTAGAACACACACGTCTCAGCTGGGTGTGAAATGTCTGTACACAACACCCTGGTCTGAACGTGTGCATGTAGAACACACACGTCTCAGCTGGGTGTGAAATGTCTGTACACAACACCCTGGTCTGAACGTGTGCATGTAGAACACACACGTCTCAGCTGGGTGTGAAATGTCTGTATACAACACCCTGGTCTGAACTTGTGCATGTAGAACACACACGTCTCAGCTGGGTGTGAAATGTCTGTACACAACACCCTGGTCTGAACATGCATGTAGAACACACACGCCTCAGCTGGGTGTGAAATGTCTGAAACACCCTAAAACACACACCTGGTGGGTGTGAAATGTCCAGTGTGACAAAGAACACACACGCCTCAGCTGGGTGTGAAATGTCGTACACAACACCCTGGTCTGAACGCAGTGCATGTAGAACACACACGCCTCAGCTGGGTGAGAATGTCTGTATACAACACTCCTGGTCTGAACGCGGTGCATGTAGAACACACACGCCTCAGCTGGGTGAAAATGACTGTACACAACACCAGAACACAGTGGGCAGAACACACACGTGAGAATGTCCAATCTGACATAAACACACCCTGGAGCTGGGTGAGAATGTCCAGTGCTTGGAAAGAACACACTGGTCTGATCTGGGTGAGAATGTCCAGTTGACAGAACACTCTGGGAGCTGGGTGAGAAATGTCCAGTGTAACCCAGAACACAGTGGGCAGAACTGGGTGAGAATGTCCAATGTGACAGAGAACACACCGGGTTGGGTTGGGTGAGAATGGTCAGTGCAACCCAAAACAAGCTAGGCCAGCTTGGCCAAGCTTGGTGAGAATGTCCAGCTTGACAGAAGGCACTCGGAAGAGCTGGGTGAGAATGTCCAGGGCAACCCAGAACATACTGGGCAGAGCTGAGTGAGAATGTCCAGTACAACCCGGAACACACTGGGCAGAGTTGAGTGAGAATGTCCAGTACAACCCGGAACACACTGGGCAGAGTTGAGCAAGAATGTCCTGTGCAACACAATATGTGCAATGGGAATGACATCCATGACATTGCATGACAATATAAACCGCAGTCACAGCCTTCAGGGCTGCCTTTTCAAAATTACCCTGATCAAAACTGGGAACAGGTTGAACCCATGTCATTCTGTACCAGTCATCAGTGGTCAGAAGAACAATTTGGCAGGGGTGAAATGGTATACCGCAGTATTAGTAGTACCGCAGTAATGCACTAAAAAAATACGGTAAGTTTGGTTTTCGTAATGTCGTTTTGTTAACATTTTCATATCTTTTCTAAAATGTCTAGAAATCGAATCATTTTGTCAAAATCTATGCATTTCTTTGCCAGATGTCAATTTTCTGCATTATGATCACATCTCTTACCGTACCGTGGTAAGAGTGTACCATTTCACCCCTACAATTTGGACATTGTAATGTTGTATGACGGAAGACAGTACAGTACACATTGAGGGTGATCAGCGTGGTTCGGTATGTCTGTCTGTTGTTCTATGATGGCATCTGCACATCCCCTGCCTTTCAACACACTTTCCTCTCAGATTGTCACCAGGGGACACAACTCCATCACCGGTGCAGTCACCTGAGAGGCTAGACAACACCTTCTGAGGAACGTACAGGAAAAATATCCATGAAAGAGTTGGAGCCGGTAATGGATTTCAAAATCGAACACTAATATCAGATTATGCAC